GTGACACATCTACAGTGAAACCTCTACACCTAAGGCTCATGGAACAAAGTGGAATGGAGGTAGAGAGAATACTAATACTTTTCTCAACTTTACCAGCAAAGCTTCCTCATATAACAGATTGTAATGCAGAAGGCCAAAACTGTTTACATTTTAAGGAATAAGAGACTTCAGAGAGCATGTCCCTGGATCAGACTCCTTTATTAAATCTCACCTATCCATGACTCAGGGACCACTGGGGAAGAGGGGATGGAAGGATTGTAAAAGCCAGACTTGGCGCATGAACATAAGGAAACAGGCTTTCAGTCTTCTGGGAACTTGCTCATATGAACTTGCAACAATTATGTGACAAAATTCACAAAACCCATGCTAACTCAATCACTAAAAAAAAACAGCATGAACTAGGGAAATGGGCAGCAAGCCTCAGGAGGAACTATTGCCAGCTGATTACTGAGGGGTAAGGGAGTGACTCTGGATAGGCTGACTAGACTCCAGTGGATGAACTTACACCAAGGGACATCAAGGTACAAATACGTTACTGGATAGGCCTTAACATATATGTACAGAATGCATTAAATCTGTTGGGGGGGTATGGGAGTATGGATGGAGGAGGGGCCTAAATTTGATTAAGCTCTATTATATGAAGTGCACAAAATCTCAAATTATGCATAAAAAAGAACGGCAAATAATACAGTCTCACATTTTACCTCCAATGGTTTATAAATTGCTACCCTCTACACCATTATAATACACATTTATTAAGTAAATTGGACTAGGATACATTTGTAGATTTGTCTTGGTTTCAGAATAAGTATAGATGACAGTAGTTTGGTATAAATAGTGGAGATTGGAATAAGACAGTATTGGAAGAAGTGACGCGTCATAAATTAATTGTGTTTATGTGGAATGGGTGATTTGTGGGAGAGGATGAAAAAACTGTGGGTGGAGGGAAGGAAAGGATAACTAATGCACTGGGCATCTCTCAGACACGTATTCTCTGTATGTGACCAGTTGTGGAACTCTGCAGTAGCTTCCATCTGCTGCAAAAAGAAGCTTTGTTGATGAGTGTTGTACATTATACTTGCCTGTAAATATGAGGATCCATATTTAGCATACAGTAAGAAATTTCATTTATCTAGAGATATGACAGAGATAGAGTTTTCTCTAGGAACTATGCCCTCTCCAGCCATGTGTATTTGGCTGTGTTTACAGTGCCCATGAGTTCCCTCCCACTAAGAGGGCTTTAAGCCCATATCAGATAGCTTTTGATTACCCCCTAGATAAAAGTGCTACTATTGCACCAATAGTGATAGTTTGCTGTGCCAGTGTTATGATCAGGCTTTACAGTTGAGTTGGACCATTGATTTATTTTTCTCCCTTAGTGGCTTGAATGGTATCCTCTAGAACTATGTGAGCTAATCTTCAGGGAGGGCACTTCCAAGTCAGTTCAGCTCCATTGCTCCAAGTCCTGTGTCCGAGGTATGTTTTGTCTTCTGCAATACGGTCTTACGCTCAAGTTCTGATAGGCAATCAAGGGCAGTGGCCATAGCCTGTGTTATTTTGGGAGTCTCTTGGAGTAGCCTGACCAACAACTCGAAGGGAGGTTTCTCCTGTCTGGCACTGTGTTTCTTGTTACATAGCCTTTAGCTATACACATGCACTCATGTTCAGATAGTATATATGTTTTTGTCAGGGTACGGTGTTGAGTTAATACATTTCTCTCAGGCTTTTTACACCACCTAAGCTTTATTCTCTCTCTCTCTCTTCTCTCTCTCTCCCTCTCTCCCTCTCTCTCCTCTCCTCCCTTTCCTCTCTCCTCTCTCTCCTCTCTCTCCCTCTCTCCTCTCTCTCCTCTCTCTCCCTCTCTCCCCTCTCCCTCTTTCCCTCTCTCTCTTCCTCCCTCCCTTTCTCCCTCCATACCTCACTCCCCCTCTCCCTCTCCCCCTCTTTGCTCTCCCCCCCTCTAATCTAGCTG